CAACACTTGACTCATCCAGAGTACTCACACCTGATTTCCCTCCTAGAACTGAGGCTCTACTGAATGATATGAACATAACCCCGTCGATGGTATTGAACATCATCTCTAAATTAGACTCTCAAAAAGCAAGTGGTGGTGACGGGATACCAGCTGCAGTCCTAAATAAATGGGCTCCTGAGCTGGCACCAGTTCTCTCCACACTATATAACTATTGCTTCGCTGACTAGCTTCCCAGCCTGTTGCTATTCCTCATCTGTTGTTCCTGTTTTTAAGAACTCTAGCGACCCTTCTGATCCATCTAACTAGCGTCCTCTCAATCTCCAACCACTCTTCGGCAAAGTCTTCGAGGCTTTAATCAATACCAAAATGATTAAGAACTTTACATCACATGATCTGCTCTCTGACAAAAAATATGATTTCCGATTTGCCGGTCTACCGCTGACGTGCTTACGGCCATAACTGAATTTGTATACCAAGCTCTTCATAATAAAGGCTAAGCTCGAGCTGTGACTCTAGATATCTCTAAGGCGTTTGACAGAGTTCGGCATGCCGGACTTCTTCGTAAGCTTTAGGGATACGGTATTACAGGGTGATTATTTAATTTTATCCAATCATTCCTGTCAAACCATGAAATAAAGTCATCCTAAAACGGGTCCTAAACGGGTTCTTTCCCAGTTCCTTTCATACGAACGCTGGTGTTCTGCAAGGCTCTATCCTTGGTCCTACACTGCTTCTGATACTCATCAACGATGTCATCAGTTCCCAAGTAGGCATCTACGCAGACGACACTACCATTTACTCCTGTCTCAATAGTAAATCCGACATTGCAGTCAAAGTTAACCTGGCCGTTGGTTTCGAAAAGGACCTCCAATCTGTGGTTGACTGGAACAGGAGATGTCTTGTAAACTTTAATGCCTCCAAAACAATTTACCCACGATAGAGAAACATTCCTGCCTCCTATGAGAATGGTTGATGCTCAAGTCCACGAGAGCATCTCTCTGAGCCCTCTTGGTCTCACGTTTTCCACTGATCTGAAATCAATAACTTCATCTACCTGACCTGAAATCAATAACTTCATCTACCACAAGGAAGGTTATTTTCTAGTCTTAATCCATCCTTCTAATCTACAAATCTACCATTTGTCCTTGCATTGAATATTGTTGCTATATATGATCTGGTGCCCACGCTGTACATCTATAATTTCCTATAATTTTAAGATTAGTGGCTAGTTAGAAAAAATATATGAAAAGAGTGTTCACAGGGTATTGGTCAAGTAATTTATACCGTTGTGGATCCTTTACTTGAAAATGGCAAATATTAAGTAATCGATAAATCTCTCAACACCTCATAAAACACCCTTTAAGACTCCATTGTAATAGTTTATTTCATCAGAGATCTTTTAAAGTACCCTGGATCATCAGACATCATTTCCAAAATGAAATGAAAATTTACACTTTTGACGGGTAGTATTAAGTTTATGCAATTTAACAGAGAGGGTAGCGAGGAGTGTTGTTAGAGACATGGTCGAGTTTAGAGAGGGTTTATTTTAATATTTCTTTCTTATATATATATATATATATATATATATATATATATATATATATATATATATATATATATTCATCCACAGACAGACTGTCTCGTTGTACCATAGTTCATTAATGTGGCTAAACGTCCGGTTGCCTCTAGCTAGGATGGAAACCGGCTGAATTGGTGTCAGTCGGAGAATTTACCCCAAGCCTTTGGCGCATGACAGAATGAAGGTGAATATATATATATATATATATATATATATATATATATATATATATATATATATATATATATATGTGTGTGTGTGTGTGTGTGTGTGTGTGTGTGTGTGTGTATGTATGTATATTAAGCAACAAAGTAGATAAAATTTGTGTAACATGTTTTCGCCCTTTAGAAGGATTTCTTAGCCCTAAAGCAATGCTTTATATGTAAAAAAAATCAGATAGAATATATCTGTAAAAGCACAATATAAAATGACAAAAGGAAACTTATCTTATCAGACGCGTTTCGTCCTCTGAAGTACTTTATCAAGGCAAATGTACCAAGGAATTATGTATGTGTAGGGAGCGGAAGATATAGAAACTCGGTTATTATTATGCTCCGATAGATACTGCTGAAGATGTTGGAACGCTAAAATTTTAAATCTTTAATTTTTTTTTTTTTTTTTTTTTTTTTTTTGTTAAGACATGTCTGGGCATATAGCCTAGCAGATTTCATTTAGGTGTTCATATGCTTTTGTTTTTATCCCTTTTATTATTAAAGAAAAGGAAAGCGACTAAGAAACTACGCACATATTTAAAATTATATATATATATATATATATATATATATATATATATATATATATATATATATACAGAGAGAGAGAGGGGCGGGGAGAAAAAAGAGAGAGAAGGAGAATTAATAGTAAAATACTTGTCACTTAGCTGATTGACGCTAGCTTCAGAATCTCGACTCCATAGTTTCGTAGACGAACCCCCACCCACCCACCTGGAATTACACCGTCCACTCGTCAGGGTTATCTGCATATGACATATATATATATATATATATATATATATATATATACACAGGGTGTCCATAATGTTCGTGTGCAATTTAAAATACTTGAACATTTGTAACTATACATGACAGAAATAATCTGTCAAAAAAATAAGAAAGCTTGATGTAATCTAGTTTTTTTTATTGTCTTTTAATTTATTATTTGTTTTCCCTATTATTCGTTTTCAATTTTTTGAATCTTCAAAATGCCTTCTTTTTTTCTTTTGGTAGAATTGCTGTTAATGGCTTCCTTAGAAGAGAAAGTAAACAACATTTTTTGTGTTATTTAACTAAAGTCTACCATCGTTGTCGAAAGAAGACTTAGAACTCATTACAATAAAGAAGCACTCCACGTGAATTTCCTATCTAATTGGATTAAAAATTTAAATATTTTCTCCCAGAATCCTATCATCCTTTCTCTGCGTAATGATGGCGGCCATGTTTAAAATTAACAACCTTAAACTGACATATGTATTTATATTTATATACCTTATTAATAAATGCAAATTTTATACTAAAGTTCACCCAGTACATTGTTCGAGAGCCACTTAAGGTAGAGGGTTACTTTTAAAAATGTAATGGTAAATGAGTTATGAATAAAAGAGGGTGTTGTAGGAAGTGAAGATTATGAAGATAAGATGTGAGAAGGATATAACGACTTTGTCTAGAAGAGGTTAAGATTTTTGTGTTCATGGAAAAATTTCCCCGCGAGAGTGTGTTCTAAAAAGTGATAGTAGAAATGGTTCAATTGCGGGACCTTTCTGAACTGGTGGAAGTCAAGAATGGAGCCCCTCTGAACTTTTGCCATAGAAGTAGCGATAGGCTTGCGAGGTTGCGTCTTGGGGAGGAAGTGGGTGCGTAGTGGAGAATAAATATTCCCTCAGAAGACCGCGTAAATGAGTTTGGACTCTATCAAACAGTAAATGGAAGATTGAGCAGCTCCAGCCCAAATATGGCAGCAGGACTTCATTTTTGGTCTAATCTGACTTTTGTAAAGATTGAGCATGGTAAGTCCGGTACTTTATAGAGCGATAGAATGAACCGAAGATTTTCAAGTATATTTAGCATTTGATCAGACTTTGTGAAAGGGTCCAGGCCGAAAGCGTCTCTTTACAGAAACATACGTACGGCCATGCGCATGCGCACACACACACACACACACACACACACACACGTGGGTGTTTTTTGTTTGCTTGCTTTTTACAATAAGGTTCACCCTTTACAAGGCCCGGGGACACTTGAGGTAGAAAGTTACGTTTGAGGTTAGTTTATATGGATAGGAGAGGAAGATAACGATTGTCTCGAGACTTGAACAGTTCAAGATTGTAGTGATCGGGTAACATCCTCTTGGAGTCTGTTCAATAGGGAAGTGCTTCGCGGTAATAAGCTGTTTGAGTGGAACTTACTTCTCGCCGATGGAATACGGAGGGAATGAGGGTGGATTGTTACTATTTAATTGGTATGGCGGGTCCTAGCCGTGAGGTTCAGACCTGGTAAAACCAAGAGATGGAATCCATCCGAGGGCTTTCCATGTTAGTAGAGTAGCAGTGAGAAGACTCGCCACATCCCGCATGTGAGAGAGAGAGGTAGGAGTATGGAAAATAATTCTTCTCTGGCAAGGACTTAGAGACTCTTTTGAACTCTATCAAGACTGAAAAGTGAGGTCCTAGACAGCTCCCGCCTAAATATGGCAACAGTACTCCATTTTCGGCCTGATCTGGCTCTTATAAAGGTAGAGGATAGCGTGAGAATTCAGGTACTTACTTTATAGGGAACCCATCATTTTACCTGCATCTTTAGCGATGGATCGTATATAGGAATTCTATTTGAGGTCGGATGTGAGTTTGAAGCTCAATATCCGCATCAAGGTATGATGCCTTCCCGAGGAAATATCCGTTCATCGTGACTGGCGGTAGTTCGGAGTCTGATCGGCGGTGATGGAATGTAATCAGTTTGGTTCTGGAGGCAGTGAATTTAACCAACTAGTATTTCCCAACTGAAAAGTTAGCATTAGATCAGAAGAGAGATTAGCTTTCAACCGTTGATCGTCAAGACTTTTAGTGATGCGCCGGTATATCGTCATCGGAACAGACGTTTACAAATGATCGGAGTAATGAAACCATCAGGAAGTCGAAGAGAGCCAAAGAATTGGTAGATCTTGACCTAACATTAGAAAGCCTACCGTTGAAAGAGCCTTAGGGATGGAGGTGTGCGTGTGTGTAACAGTGTGGACATTAGGATCAACAGTGCATGATAACTGTCAGTTTCACGTCTTAGTGCTTGGATTGAAAATCGTAGTTAGGCATGAAACTAACAGTCAACATGCAATGCTGATTCCTATGTCCACACTCTCGTCCTCAATAAATACTCTATTTCCTATATCTACACATAGGTGTAGATATAGGAAATAGAAATAAAGTCACACACTATAAACGAGATAGATAGATAGATAGATAGATAGATAGATAGATAGATAGATAGATAGATAGATAGATATTTTCATGAACAGGGTGACACAGAATGAACTGAGAGATTAAAACAGAAAGATATATACAGATTGAGAAAGATAGGTAGACCAATATATATGAACATAGATAGATAGATAGATAGATAGATAGATGTGTGCATTCCTTGAATATACAGATGTATGAGTCTATTCGCATATATTTGTGTGTGCACGAGTTTTGCTAGGTAGAGATTTACGATTTTGTAAGCCTATAAATCCATATTATTAGACGTACTTGCAAAAAAATGCATATGTCTATAAAAGAATAAGCGAAATTTTAAAAAAATGAAGCCATCTCTTTCAGTTTTTCTACGCATTATATATTTCCGATCTGTAAGAATCTACGCTGGAAATTGTGTTTCTGTCTTTCTTTGCCATTGCTTCAGATTTTACTTAGGTATGCAAGTTTGTCTGTTACATATGAATCTTATTCAGTTTTTATACATATATATCTACCATACGATTAGGTAGATAACATTGGTGAAGTAAAGACAGGTAAGTATGTTGGTAAGCATCCAGGTACACAGGTAGATAAATGGGTAAGTAGGCTGCGTTTCTAGGGGTAAATATGGAAATTTCAATACATTTTCATGTACGCATACGTATTATATATTCGTGCTTCTAAAACATTTCATTTTATATATACATACATACATACATACATACATATATATATGTGTGTGTGTATATATATATATATATATATATATATATATATATATATATATATATATATATATATATATATATAATATAGCTGGCCACTAGTATTCAAGGATACTCGTCTACTAGGGTCTCGCTCAGGCACATTTGTCTTTGTTCAACATCCACAGAGCCCACCTATGGTTTATACTGCAACTATGCTGAGCAGACCTTAGTTACAGTTTCTGGGAGAGAGCGTGTTATCTAGAATAATCAACAAGCTGAACAACACCAGCACACTGAAACCCTCGGTCACGATGACTTGTGACTTCGTGCTAGCACAGATATCGACGGACCCAAGTGTTTCATTGCAAAAAATAAATAAATTTGTCTATAAAAGAATAAGCGATTTTTTTTTAAAAAATGAAGCTATCTCTTTCAGTTTTTCGACGCGTTATATATTTCCGATCTGTATGAATCTACGCTGGAAATTGTGTTTCTGTCTTTCTTTGCCATGGCTTCGTCTATCCAATTTCACTCACAAGCTTGGGTCAAAACGTGCTATTGTTTTCAGGCACTTTCCTGATACCGTCCCCCTTCCAGACCGATAACATCAGGAAGTCTCCTTCCTGACAAATCGACTATGGTGAGATTCGAACCCGGGTCTCCCTGTTCTGCCATTCATTTACTCAAGCTCATCGCTGCTTTCCTCCGTCCTTCATTTCTTCAGTCTGAGTAGAGCTTCAAGAATTTTTAGTTTTTGTTTATTGTTTTCATGTTTAAGTATAATTGTGTTTTCAACAAGTATTTTACGGAATTGTGCATGCGGCCAGGCATGTTGTTCTCACGTGTCGTAAAATTATGTAAAACAAAGCATAATATTTTTTTCTAAATAAATCCACATTACAACCAAAAACGTTTGCGGCACCTCTCTTCTCTTCTTTTTAATATACATACTTTTCTCTCGTTGGAACCACTACATTATATTTCTTTAGTCGAATCCATTACATTTCACTTACGTGCTAATACCCTTGGGAAAGGTATGTATCCTCTTCATCTCCCTCCAGCTATGGGTAAAATAGCAGGACAGACAGGGTTCTATAGCCTTGGATGGCAACTGGTCTAGGAGAAGGACAACTCTGAATTCAAAACCTGCGGAGGGTCGTTTGGGAACCTTGTGGCATGCATTCGGTGCACCAGGTTATCTGTATTCGTCCCTCCAAAAAGTGTGGCTGGTCCTGCACGAGGCCTTCACCACTATAATCAAATCTCATGTGCCGGTGTCGGGATGTCGGTTTCCTGGGGACTTCGGCCTGACCCTCATACGTCGAACGCGACGGGAGAGTCGATTATTTATGTGTGTGTGTGTGTGTGTGTGTGTGTGTGTGTGTGTGTGTGTGTGTGTGTGTGTGTGTGTGTGTGTGTGTGTGTGTGAAATTATGTAACACTGGTGGAATTGAAGGGGTTAATGTAAAAATGTGATCTCGGAATATGAGAGGGGGGAAGAATATCGAGAGTCCACCTTGCAGGAGGAAATCGCTAAGGTATACTCCGGGGTACTCGCTAACCGTGTGAATTAAGAACGGAACTGAGAAAAGTTGAGTTATGGCCGTCAACATAAGTTACGATTAGCAGACTAAAGGCCCATCTGAAATATAATTGTGGAAACATAACCAACTCAGGAGACGAGACATAATCAGTGACCTGAAAAGGAAACGGAAATGAGAAACGAACTTGTGAGGTTTGTCTGCACAGTTGTGGAGCGAGATGACTGGTTAGGGTGCACTAGAACAAACCAGACCAAAGACTAGGAAATAATATTTGTTATCGAATATAAATGATTAAAATAAGACCACCCCTTCGCCCAGTCGGTTTAAAAATAAGAATTGTCAAAAAGGCAGTCAAAACCTCCCCGTGGAGACGGTCTCATATGGAATACCGATAGAGGAGGAGACAAGGGGAAAATTTACCACCGTCCATTTGGAAGTAATCGTGCAAGTCATAAATAGGAGAAAGCATGAGGTATAAAAACGGGACAATGCCTGCAACTAAATCCGAAAGTTGGGGAATTACCAGACCAATCGACTCCACGTCTTGAATGGAACTCAATATAAGCAGATCGCGTTGGTGACACAAGCACTTAGAGAGACGAGGCGAACGGCGAAGAATGAACGAGCTGCTACCAAAATCCCGAGTGACCTATTGCCGGGAGAATTTGACCCCATTCCAAGTTTTAGAAGAGCAAACTGTCACTATAAAAATTTAAGAGGGACGGGTTGATTTTTCTACCAGGAACCATATAAACTAGTTTAGATCTAACCCGATGAATCTTCCGTTTTTATTTCTTTCATAATATATCTTAGCAGTGGCTCGAACCAGTGCTCCGAATTACCGATGACATTCGATCTTCACTGGTCAACAGCAATCAGCAGCAGCCTATGCAAAACTATAAACAAAAATCATTTATTCTCTTAGTGTCTAAGAAGCAATTATTATTGACAACTGGGCAGGCAAAAATGTAGAATACTATGACAAAATAAGCAGTTCTCTTTAAACAGAGTTAAGCCAAGTTAATAACAAAGAAGAAATGTAAGAAATCATTCAATTCTTTCTTTTATTCACGCAAAGGGAAAAATAGTACGTAAAATTCCAGATTACTCACGCAAATTGCCTTAAAAAACTGTTCCAGATTAAAATACTCGTACAATAGCACAATTTCAAATATTTACTTTATTTTTCTTATAGTTGGAGTTTCGATTTATAACTAAATATACATTCATAGGAACACTCCAACATGATGAAATGATTAGTAAGCTTGTCTCAATAGATCAATTACTACTGAGTAGTGATCCTCACTAGGTGCCCCATACATTTAGCCTAAGCTACATTAACAGACTGTCGCGTGTATCTATTCTTACTTCTTTTTCTGTGTGCTGTGTCCCTTCAGGACGTAGGCGATCATTGTCCTCCACAGTTTCCTGTCCTTTGTAGCTCTTAATAAATTTTGTCTCTTTTGTTATCTCTCCTAAACCTTACTCCGCCATAGAGCTCCCTAGGTAGATTATGCATTCTTTTTCTCTGTTCTTCTCGCCTATGAGAGATATTTGTCAAGTAAAACAATTAGTATCACAGCAATAATCGACTGGCTCTTTTTTTACTTGCCATATTAAATAGTATTTTACATCGGATAGTAACTCAAATGTTATCGTTCGGCATTCATTTATTAATTTTTTTATACTTTATTCTTCAAGCGGACAGACTTCAAAGCTCTTTTAAGTAATTAGATAAATATCTACAATATTCATAAGTTATAGATAGAATTAAAATGTTTCTCCCTCGCTAAATTTAGTCACAGTAGCCTCGGGATTTAATCAGCAATTTTTCCTATTGGTAAATATTAGTACGTAATCTGACTGGGATCTACACACACACACACACACACACACACACACACACACACACACACACACATATATATATATATATGTGTGTGTGTGTGTGTGTGTGCTTGTGGGATGCGTAATCTGATTGCGATCTTACACACACACACACATATATGTATATATATGCATATATACATATATATGTATATATATATATGTGTGTGTGTGTGTGTGTGTGTGGTGTGTCTTTGTTTGTCTATGTGTTTCTGAGTGTGTAACGTAAGCTTTGATTGCGATCTGCATTTATATACATATATATATATGTGTGTGTGTGTGTGTGTAAAGATCGCAATCAGATTACGCACCCACATACACACACACACACAAGCACACACACACACACACATATATATATATATATATATATATATATATATAATTATTTTTATAAAAAAATTTATAACATAAGTATGTTATAAAATCACTACAAAAATAGCCATTTTGTTTCAACACACTCTGTGTCTTATCAAGTGATGATGTTGAAAAGAAAATAAATGGTTTTAAAAGTTTCAGATTAATTAACGATCCTACACTAGGGGAAACATTGTTACAAAAGCTAGAATAACCAATCAAAAACGAAGTATAGAAAGATTCAAAAGCTTGACAACGAAATCCTGCTCTAATAGCTATTCAGATCTTTAAATACGTGTAATATTAAAATTAATTTATACTAACTAATAATTATAAATTTACATGATAAAATTTAATATTAAAATTAAAAACTGGCAATTTTTAAAATCAAATTTAATCACTATTAAGTTTAAAAACTACAAAATTATTGAGAAAAGAAAAAAATATATATGTTTATTCAATTCATTTTTCATTGAAATTACGTTCGACAAGACAAGACGCTATAATACATCCGGTCATTTGATAATACATGTATATATATTTTCTCTTTTCCTTTCTTTTCCGTTTTTATTTTAAAGTTTGTGAATATGGTCTTAAACTCACGCGTGACACAATAAAAAAACACAATCAGATTATAATACATAAGCATCCAGACATAATTAGACACACACACACACACACACACACA